AGTTCAGAGGTATTACACGTGTCACCTGTTGTCGTATCGCTCGAAAGGCGTTATTCATCTCTGCAACTTACTTCAGTCGGCCAGTAAGAGATAATTGTAGTCCTACAGAAGAACAGAACATTCGACCCTTTGATGTAACCGAAAATTGTGCAGAGCTGAAAATAACGAGTTGTTTCCAGTAGTATAAATACAATCCGTGATCATTGGAAAAGGTCCAGTAGGTCTGTTATCGATGAAAAATCTGTTGCTAGCTCATAGAAGGAACTTCACAGGACTAGCCAATGTGATTATCTCTATTTCCAACTTACAGCTTGCTGAATTGTGCTAACAATAGGCATTGCCCAAACAAAGGTACTCAAATCCGACAGGAAATACGAGAATTGGCGGCTCTTTTTGAAGTTTCAAACTCTTCCAGTACGGGTCCGATTGAAAGCGGGTTTCAGGGTCGTAAGTATTGGAAGGTTACCTGACCCATTTAGTACTGTGGTAGGCCCTTATCAGCGAAGATACTTCAGTTTGCTGTAATCACTTTCAAAAACTAGAAACGTCTGCTAGGAGAAGTCGCATCGCTCTTTTCAAAAGAAAAAAGCGCTTTCAGCTACAAAATACTCTCATTTTCCACATCCAACTATGAAGTTAATAGTCGGTTTGACTGATAAGGTTTGTTCCGAACCCTCCTAAGAGACCTGCTGATTTCCTATCGCTTGCCCTATTACCTGCTTTGCGTCTGTTCTAGAATCGAAGTACGGATTTTTGAACAGGTGACTCTTGGCCAAGGACACAGTGGGTGGGGCTTTGCTTAGGTCATGTGCTCCGTACATCTTTTCTCAAGCATTATCCATCCCACCCTTAAAGGCAGTTGGCACGATAAATCCCCCAAGACGACTAGGATCAATACTCCTGGCAGGATAGAATTCCGCGACCCTGGGCAGGCGCTGCATAGCGGTTTCCCCGAGGAAGGTGCCCTTATAAGGGCCCTATCAAGCCACAACTTTACGTCCCAAACGCCCGCCCGCCCCCGCCCGCCCACAAATGGACGACCGTTCCTGACGCTCGTATTCATTCATTTGCTAAGCAAATTATGAAGCGAAGGGATTGGTATGAAGCGGCCGTGATGCTGCATGCATACATGGGTACACATATGCAGCCGTATCTTCGGTAGCGGTGATTGGTAAGATGCCTACGGGAAACTCGTCCGAAATCGATTTTCAAGTCACTGAGAACGGAGGCTTTTTTCTTCTTTTGACCGTTTCACTCCGTTCTTTCGCCATTTCCCCACTATACAGCGCCCTACTAGCATTTTAGGCTAACAAGGGAGGTC